GTGTGTGTGTGTGTGTGTGTGTGTGTGTGCGCACACACACACGCACGTACTAATGGCTTGTGTCTGTGTGTGTGTGTACAAGCAGTCCTCACCCCCTGGCCCAGTTGCTATCCCAGGTGGAGGAGTTCCACTGAATATGAGGGAAGTGGAGGAGCTGGAGAGAATGACCAAGGACTTCATTAAAGACATGGACACACACGCACCGGTCATCACCTCCCCTCCTACAGGTACACACACACACATATATAAACAGAGGGGTGGCTGTAACATTCATGGTGAAACTCTCATCGAAATGTATTGCATTAGTAATTTCTAAATTATATTGTAATGTGAGAAGCATTTTAATACCACACACTGAAAATAAGATTAGGAAATCGTGCAGAAGTTTTCTGGCTGAATGCAAAATATTTATGGAAATATATTCAAAGCTCATTCTGATATTTAACAATTTATGTCTAGTAGCTGCGCAGTGGTTCTCTGTGTTCACTGCTATGAATATGTATGAACATTAAGCTATGTGTGTTGTATGAAACTTAATGTTGTGATTCTGTACAACTGAACAAATCCATAAAATGGTACAAGTTTATCATCTGTGGCAATACATTTGTTGAATACAATATTCTACTCATTAGTTAGGGGATGACACTGTAATTAACACAATTATGGGAAGATGGATTTATTTGTGAATAACCTTGTTTGTATATTTTTCTCTTTTCCCCCAACACACACACACACACTCACACACACACACCTCTCTTCTCATTTTAGAGGTCTGTGGGAAGTGTGGCGAGGCTCTGTCCCGCACCCAGCCAGCAGTGAGGGCCATGGATAAACTCTTCCACTCAAACTGCTTCTGTTGCATGAGCTGTCATCGCCCCCTGCAGGGCATGCAGTTCTATGACCGGGATGGCGCACCTCAGTGTGACGACTGCTACACGGTAAAGAGACGCACGAGCCAATTAATGGTCACTGCAAAAAGACCAAAAGCTTCATTTCTGTGTAATGTACCCTGTGCACTCTTCATTCTGCATACTGATGAGTAAACACCGATGGTGTGAAGTGTTCAGCGCATACCTTAAGTGTGTAGAATGTACTGATCAATGTTGACACAGCGAGTATACCACCTTGCTCCTCCTCCTCAGAGTTCCCTGGCAGTGTGTTCCCGATGTGGGGAGAGGATCACAGACCGTGTGCTGAAGGCAGTGGGCCAGTGTTTCCACTCCCACTGTTTCCGCTGCAGCACCTGTTCCTGCACACTTGAGGGGGCGCCCTTCATCACTGATGACAACAACAACCCCTACTGTGTCCAGGATTACCACAGGTAGCTACTGGCTGTCGATGATAAGGAAATATTACATCTCTAGTCATTTCCTATGATGAAGACATTGGTTTGCGAAGCAATATATGTTACCAAACGTAGGCGTGTTGGTACACTTTTACTTTTATAAGTATATATAGCTGCCCAGGGATGTGTTTTGAGGACAATCCAATTTCAGCAGTGTTTGGATTTATGACCCCATTTATCTTACCCATCAGGATTACTGATAAGAGTGCTGGACGAAGGAGGCAGCAACAGCAATACATTTTTTCCTCACTTGATTTTGACTAATGGAAACTTGTTTTTCTATTTCCTGCTGATAATAAAAAGTTTACACAGCCTGCTAAACTGTGGATAAATAATACCAATGAATCCTCACTACCGCTAGTTGACAGGCCGAGAAGCAACACATTTGATTTTGTTTCATTAGAATATATTGCTTTTGGTGTTCCTTCACTATGAATGTGAATGTGCCACCAACTAACAGCCAGCTCTCCACCCTTGTGTTCCAGGCGTTTCTCCCCTCTGTGTGTGAGCTGCAATGACCCCATTATTCCAGCCCAGGGCAGCGAGGAGACCGTCAGAGTGGTGGCTCTCGACAAGAACTTCCACCTCAAGTGTTACCGTTGTGAGGTAAAACCACATTTCATACATCACACGCTGTATTCAATAACCCCTAAAAAGTAACAAAATAAATGAATTAAATCAATGTATTTTGTCCTGTAGGATTGTGCTCGCCCTCTCTCCATAGAAGCGGATGAAAATGGCTGCTATCCATTGGATGGGAAGATCCTGTGCATGAAGTGCCACACCCAGCGAGCCAAGCAAGCTGCGCAGTGATTGGCTGAAGCGGCGTAACTCAGATTAACTATGAACCAAAATCCAAAAGCACAGGATTCATTCAGCTGCCGTTTTGCCTTTGCAACAGGGCTGTATTCAATATATGTGCGCAGGTGTGAGTGTGAATGTGCTGTGTGGAAAGGTATGTTTGCATGCAAGTACAGTGTAGTATTCCCTCGTCTTTGTTCACTTCAGTGCAGAAGTAATGTACTGCATTGAAATAAACTCCCCTCATCTTTTATTCCCAATCTCAAACGCTCCAATCTCTCGTCTAGTCCTCTTTATGTACTAGAACGTGTTTTTTGTGCCAATTCTATGTTTACGCTTAAATTTCCAGCAGAACTTGCACAAGAATAGTTTGGGCAAAAGAACAGTCTGATGAATATAAAGTTGCCTTTCTTTGTTAGTAGCACCATAGACTGAGATATTTCCATCTAAAGACTTTGACTGGCTGGTCTATTTCCCTATGAGCATCGTACCTATAGTGATGATACTGAGACAGATTGTTACCATAGGGTGAGGAGTACCAGAGACCTCCCATTCAACCACTCTGCAGATTTCACCACTCTGCTTGGCTGTTGGTAGAGCATATCTTTAACACTTTGGCAGTTGTTGTGCCTGCAAGCATGGTTAATTATGCTTTCCTGCCTAGAAAGTGCTTCATATCAGCCAACTCTACAGCATTCTACAGTCATCTCGGGCTAAACGTTGGCTGCAAAAAAGAAAAAAACAGTAAATGTTGCTCTTAGTTTTTTGTGATGTGAATTTGATCATTTACAGGCATGCTTAGAAATATGTCGTGTTGCTCTCTCTCTTCTTTGATCATACAGACTGTATAAGGGCAAGATTAGAACAAAAAGCAGCCATTTTCCTCTCTAGAATGGTCTGGAGCTGATTTAGCAGTGTGTTTTAAGATGCATGCTTTTTAGATGCACAACTTTTGATCAAATAGACGAGCACAGATTCCATTCCAGGGATCGCATAATCGCAAAAAAAAGAAACGTGGTTATAAATGTCAGCTGCATGGCTGAAAGCAGGACCTATCATGTGACCGTTGCACAGTTCCATAGTGAAGTAAAATAGCCTTTAAGTGTCACTTTGACTCTAAAGCCCCCCTGCACATGATCAATTTTGTATTAGTAGACACCATCTAGAAACACAATAGTAGTTTTTGATATGAATTTCCTTGGAATCCCTTGCTTTAGGTAATATAATTTATAGATCTTTGTTTTATTAAGTAGTAAGGTTAAACTGTATGTGTACCAGTACTAAAATAACCTGTCATTAAAGCAGGATAATAGATCAGTAGAGGCGTTAGCTTAGAGTTTTAAATAACAATGTTAAAACACAGTGATGAAATATTTCATTGCTGTTGGCAGGATTAATAAAATAGTTACATGAGGTTCAATGTTTTGACTTTCATGTATGTTTTTCTCACTTCTTTTGTGTTTGAGCCCAGTTTTCTGGTCTTGATCTATTCCATTGTTACAGTAAATACCACTATTCTTTCTATTATTCATCTTTTGTACTTAAGTCTGATCATGTTGGTTATATACTATTTTATTCTTATCTTACTGTACTGTATTTCATTCATAAATGCTTAAAATTTATTGTTTTCATTTTGAACCTGGAGATGTGCCTTCTCCACCATTGTATCCCATTGTTCCTTTAAAATTGAGCCTTATTTGCAGCGACAGAAACTCATTCCACAATAAGAAAACAGTTGTAACTTGTGCTTGCATCGAGCCTGGTGCAGTATAACACCAGAATGACTAACATGGCAATAGTTACTCAGCATTGCATGCTATCTGTGTAGGTGGTGGTGGCGGCATTTCTTCTAGTATTATGTCTTTTGTTTGCACCAACTACTCCACCTTTGTGGCTCTGCCTTTGTCATCACTATGTGATTCTAAACGTATGATGATGCCTTTACGGTTGCATTTATCTGGCGTTTTTTGTTGTGTTATGTCCTATTGTATTACATGCAGATGCCTTGTCTTTTCATATAACTTTTTTTTATAAATTCCTGTTTGATATGTGTGTATGTGTTTAAAAACAATTATTTAGCCCCACCCCTCCCCCCCATTTGGCTGTATTAAAAGATAAACAAATAAATAGAACGCTAAATACCAAATGGTTTTGTTTCATTTCTCGACTGTCAACTGTACTATTTTATAGATTGGCCACCTACCATACATGAAAGGGTGTATGCAGCAGAAGTAGTCACTGCAAAGTTGCACACAATTTGAGTTTGTCATATTTGTTTTTACCATTACATCTGCTCTGTGGTCGGCCTCCATGTGACATCCATGAAACGTGTTTCCTCCCAGATTCAACGATGTGCTACACTGTTACATGACCTCCAGGACGCTGAACCGCTCTATCAGTTGTTAACAGCCATGAGTTGTACTGATAGTGACGACAGCGGACATGTGTGCGCGTGCATCTCAGAGTGTTTACTTTCCATGAACTGCTTGCCCTCATTCAATGCAACGTAACAATATATCAGCAAAAGCTATTTGATGGCCTCAACTTACCAGCCAACGGCTTCTGTTCTCAGGCCTCTAACCCTGCAGGCAGGTGGGGGTAGTGACAATAAAAGTTGGAACCTTCATTTATAGTTTCTCCCGTGTTCACGAACCCCAAAACATCCACATGCATGTCCCAGAGCAGAACTATAGTCTATGCTTGATTATCTGTCTTCTGGAGAGGAGAGTAAGACGCAGCCTGCAGGGTTGTTTTTTATCAGAGTGTCAGATGAGGAGAAAAGTGAGTGATGAAGAGAGATAGAGAGCTGAGATGACAGCTGTCTGACGGAGGGACAGCAGGAGGAGGGAGCACATGGGACACTTCAAATGCAAAAGACAACCATCCATCTGCTAAGAATGAGTGAAACTCCAATAGAGCTTGAGGTAGGATCTTCACAGAAAACTAAAAGCTGACCGTGCTGTTATGAAGTTGTATTTGTTATGTTCACATGGTTGTCAAGCTAACATGGAAAAGTGGAGCAAAGCCATCTATGTTCCTGGAAAATGTTGGTATTCAAATTATACGGTTTGGTGAGGTCTGCAATGTGCTTTGTGTTGCAAAATACAAACTGGTGTTTGTATCAGTATTTTCTGGTAACTTTGGAAAAGAGTTGACAGCAAACATGTTACTCATAAACAAGCTGCTGACCAGTGCCAGTGATATAATGTGTGGTATGATTCTACTGAACTGGGACATAGATCTCAGTGGAGGTATCTACGTATATACTGTAGTTATGCTGTTTAATCTGGTGTTGGTTGCTCTGATTAAAACTTGAGGTACATGAAATATCCACTTTGTAGTGAGGTTCATATCATGTGGCAGCTGATGCTAAACTGCGTGGGCTCTTACAAGCCAGCAGTAGTGAAAGTAGTGGTTCTTTGCATACATGTGGATGTGTTTTGGGGAGAGGTGAATGATCAGAGGGTTCTGGGACACAAGAAATCACTGTTGAGTCTTGTGGTGATGTAGTGGACCCAGTTCTAAAGATCTGTGATTGGACATGACCAGTTAACGACCACACTCGTACTCAAACTTTTATTGAACTCAACACTTTTTTATGTGGCAACAAATAATGTGTGTGTGTGTGTGTGTATATATCTTTCTATGTATATGTATATATTTCGTTTGACCCAGTTACAATCCTGTGTCCCTTGCTCACTTCCAGCCTCGGCTATCAGTCCAGCCATCATCACAGCCAGAATCTGGGAGGGGGCTCCAGCCTCCTCCTTTGTTTCAGCTGCCACTCCCGACCCAAGATCCTTCCGACACCCATCAACAAATGCAGCTCCAGCTTGAGCCACAGCTGTCAGAGTCTAACCCCGAGCACCAGCAACAAGCAAAGCCAGTGTGGATAAATCGTCGAAGGCTAATTCGCCTCATTTTGGGGTTCTCCTTATGTAGTGCCATTCTGGGACTGGTTTACTATATGCATTATAATCATCAAAATAGCAACATCCAGGCAGGCAAAGGTAGGCCTCCAGAGAAACACAACACAATTACACACACAGTGACTCCATGTCTCTCCCCAGCCTGTCAGTGGGCCTCAGCACGTCTGTCCATATCTGCTGACCCCTTCACGCAGCCCTGCGATTACTTCTTGTTCACCTGTGGATCTGATATACTTTCACCAGACAATGGGGGGAGGCAAAGAGGGCAGGGCATCCCTGGACATCCACAGAACCAGAAAGAAAAGGCTGTGTGGACAGAGAGGAGAGGACAGAGTAAAGAGAGAGAAGATAGAGGACTGAGAAAGGAGAAGATACCGGACAGAAAAACAGTGCTGCTGCAGTATCTCAGGGAGATTTTGGGTAGTAGTATGCAACCTAAATGTCCTCTAATGTACACCACTCTGCATTGTATCGCTTTATTTATTATTATTTATTTTTATTATATCAAGAAAGTGTCTGAAACGTGTTTTTTCTTGTTCTGTTTGTCAGAATCAAACACCAGACCGGGTAGTACAGCAGTGCAAAAGGCCAAAGGATTTTACCATTCCTGTTTGGACACCAAATCCATACAAACAGCTGGAGCAGAGCCCTTCCTCGCACTCATCCAGAAAGTGAGATAATTAAATGTCCTTAAATTGTGAGCTTTTGGCTGATTAATCCCAATAGAAAGGTTGTCAAATGTTTGATGCTGCAAAGGTTAGGAGGAATTCATCTGGGAGTTAAACATGAAATCTCAACACAAGACACAAAGAGATCATGTATTCTTCCACTTAGCAGGATGCCGTATAATCATTGTACATCATCTCTGTCTCTGTCTCTCTCTGTATGCAGCTTGGGGGCTGGGCAGTATCAGGCCAGTGGAATCGGACAGACTTTAACTCCACCCTGAGACTGCTCATGAGAGACTACGCCACATTTCCATTCTTCAACCTCTATGTGGGCAAAGACCCAAATGAAATTGCCCACGGGACAACCAGAAGATATATACAGGCCAGTATCCATTAGAGTAATTTGTCCTAACATGCTGGTGGGAGCACTGCCATGGCAAAGTAGGCTTCATCTTAGTGCTTTAACTCAAGTCTCCCCTCTGTCAACAGATTGATCAGCCAGATCTGTTGATCCCCATCGAATGGAACAGCAAGACACTGAAGTCTCAAGCTAAAACTCGGGTAGGTGACTCAGTCAGACCACTATTGATTCAAGAAATGTCTTTTAATGAATAAACAATATTCATCCATCCCACTAATGCATTGCTTTGTCATTCTCCTGTCTCTTTTCATCCAGACGCTACGTCCCTTCTTGGCATCATGTGAGAGGTACCTGGCATTGTTGGGGGCCCCTCCCAGCAGCAGCATGATCCACGTGGGCACCTTCATCTCTCTGTCCTCTGAGCTCGCCGTGGCTGCTGCACCTCTGGACTTTCGCCTGTCGAAAGGACAGCTTTATCAGCGCATGACCATCAGAGAACTACAGGTACAAGAGGAGGGGAATGGGTCGCTACGCAAACATACTGTGACTGAATCCGCCGCAATAATTTACTTTCTCTGCGTAAATCTGCCAACAGAAGCAGGCGCCTGCCATTGATTGGCTGGGCTGTCTGCAGGCCGCTTTCCATCCACTGCCACTCATCGAAGATGATCATGTCCTTCTGCATAACTTACCCTACATTGTGCAAATGTCCCGCATTGTTGGCAAATGGCTGAACAAGCATGAGCCGAGCAGCAGGTACTGTTAGTGACACAAACCACTGTCAAACATGCATAGACTTTTCATGTTTGTTTTTCCTTTTTTTAACCATGTGCTGGCACATTGGAATCCACACAGCGGCCCCGTTCATACGTACATGGTCCTCAGTCTGCTGCACAAGCTGATGCCTGCTCTAGACTCCAGGTTTTCTGAAACAGCAAAGAATTTGTCTATGGCTCTGGGTGACGCTGAAGAGGTGAGTCAACACAGATAAAGCCGACTGTACTAATTTCAAAAAGATGACACCTTTGAGTTGGTTTGTTGAGTCACATGGGCCTCTTCACCAGGGAGCTGATCGCTGGAAACACTGTGTATTAGAGACTGAGAGAGGATTTGACTTAGTTCTTACTCACCTTCTCAGTAAAAGGACAGCGCACAGAGAGGTGAGTGGCCATCATGGTGATTTAGGACATAATTAATTGCGCCTTATTGAATTTTAAGGCTGATGTGTATTTAAGATTTTCATTGTTCAACAGGCAGAGGAGATTATTCAAAATATCTTTACCTCCTTCAAATCCAAATTACATGAACTCAAGTGGACAGATCAGAAGTCTCTCCAGTTTGTCATGAAAAAGGTAAGAAGTGAAGCAGGAATTGTCATTGTACTTCTTGAAACAGCATTTTGAAAAAATGTCCTGTCCTCCTCCAGATTCAGTCTTTAATTCCAAGACTTTGGACTACAAAGGAGATCTCTAGTGAGGCTGAGCTCGACCTGCTTTTTTCCAAGGTACGTTACAGACCTCCATTGGCTCTAACAAATTAGCTGGTCACCTCTATATTCGGTTAAACCTCTTTGCAGTGAGTTTAATCCTATCTAAACCCACCCAAACTCGCTTAACACAAGTTATTTTCTAATTTAATTTGTATTGCACCGAACTGTTGTACATTTAATGTGAAATACCTCACAAATACCTCATTTTAATCCGTTTTGATTCCAGGTGACGGTCGGCACAACTAGCTTCTTCTCCAACTATGTCCAGTCACTTTCCTTGTGGCAAAAGAGACGCAGTCAGCTCTTGACTGAGAAGGCAGAGGCGGCTGATATGTAAGTGCCGCCCTCTGTTCCTAAAGGTGAGAGTGGATATGAATGTTTTGGGCATGTATTTAGTCTTTTGTCTTTTCTATTAGTCTGTCTGTTACGCCATTTCTCCTGGGTGATGAGCTCCTCTTTCCCATGGGAATGTTTATCCCTCCTCTCTTCCATCCTACCTATCCCAGGTAAAGTGTACACTGATTTTAAAAATACTTTTAAAGGGTTTTCACGTGTTCACAAGTTACTATTGAACATTGTAGTAAAATTGAACACTTTTTGTATTATTTCTAAACAGGGCAATGAACTATGGCGTGATGGGTTTCATTATCGCCAAAGATATCCTCCACCTGATTTTGCCTGATGGTAAGAGAAGCTCATATTTGTCATGTTTGGGGTTACATACGCATGCCGCTTTAATAACAGTTTTTCAGATATCACAACTGCCTTCTTTATACTCAACTTACAGACCGTTCACAAACAATCTGTCTGTTGTAGTTTACTCTCACAGTGAGATGGTGCATGCTGTGGGGGAATGTGTGTGGGCTCACTACCTCACTGTCACAGAAAAAGCGGGCCGAGGTGGAGAGTTTTCTCTCTCAGCAGCGCAGCAGCAGGAGCTGTGGGTGCAGTATTCTGCACTGCAGATAGCATTGCAGGTGAGCAGCAATCTTCAGGCTTTCGTCTCTGTGTATATAACATTTGAGCTCATGCATCCACATTTTTTTTTCTCCACAGGCTTATCATCAGAGTCTAAAGAACCATCCGAATGACACCTCCATCTCAGGACTGTCACACACGCGTCTGTTTCTCACCTCTTTTTCGCAGGTACAGTGGTTCTATTAGGTTACAATTGTCGGCACCTTTCCTCTCAGCTACTGATCGCATGTTTTTTATTATATTCTCTTTCCAGGTTAACTGTGACTCAGACCCATATAGCAAATGTATGCCCTTGGAGCCCTCCTTCTTGATTACAGTGATTTGTGCCAAATCTGACCTGTGTCCTACAAGCCTGCAGTGCCCCAATAAAACCCAGCAGCATTCATTAGAAACGTGCTGAGTACCACTCCTCTGAAGACCGGCAGGGTTTTGTTTTTGTAGTTATTGATTATTATTGTGGATTTGTCTGGCAAAACACTTGGTGCTATAGAAATACAGCACACTGATGTTTACAAACTGTTGTTGCAAAGATAGTTTATCATTATTATTACACACGTGTATGGTGGGATTATGTACAGGTAAATAAAAACCTGCATTTTTTTTGTATCAGTAGTTAAGATGTTTGGATTTCCATAGATTGTACACGCTGTTGCATATTCATGATAATAAAATAAACATTTGAAAAGCTGTTTCCACTTTGTTTCACAGATCTAACTTCTTGCTTTGTATGCTACCACGGTAAAAAAAGAAGAGTTTTAAATGAGCTTGTCTCCTAGGTGATGAAGACACTCACCTCTGACAACAAAATAATTATTAGAAATGAAATCAGGCCATATGGATTTTGAGATTTCTCTCTGAAACATGAAATAGGCTAACACCTAGAGGCGCAAAAGGAAATGCTAATAACAAAATTACAGCAAAGGACAATACAGCGTTAAAGGTGATAAAACAAATAGTCATTCTGAATCCTTTATTTTCTACAAAAATCAGAAACAGACACAAACAAAGCAGGTAAGGACAAGCAGTCTGAAATCCCCAAATTCAAAAGCTGATCTGAGGCAGAGAAAAAACAGCCAGCAAATCTTCCAAAGGAGCGGAAAAGTCACAGAGACAGGCCAGAAAGACTCCCAAACCAAAAGGAAAGACTCACAGAGAAGCAGCCAAATCACACAAACCAAGAAGGAAGACACCCCAAGCAAGAGGAAAACCACCAAAGCCAGCAGGGAAGAACCCGCACCAAGGGCCTGGAGACGTCGACCAAAGCAAAAGAGACATCCATGTAAGACTTCACAGAGAAGACGGCCACCAAGATGGAGGCTAAGATTAAAAACAGCTTACTACTATTAGCATTTAGAGTAATTGATGGTGAGCAGTAATAGACTAAAACCTTTCAAGCATTCTGAAATTGTATATTTTCTTTTGATGGATCAGTTGAAAATGACTTCCTATCGTCTTATTTTCTTTGTACACGTAGGTTCCATGCTCAGGGTAATCCATGTACTTTATCACCTCTGAATATTTAGTCTCCCCTGTGAATTTCACTCTTATCGATCTATATGAAAGAAAACCACTCCTCATTTAGTCAAATATTTTAATACAACTGTATTGATTGATTATCCAAAACTCAGTAAATGGTGCATTTGATAATGGTATAAAAAACAGCCACACTCCTAAATAAAAAAGGAACATTTGGTACAGAAACCTGTTTTTACCACATTGTGGCCAAACACCATCATACAAGTATACACATGCAGTGTTTAACAGGATAAATGTCTGTGGTCCATGCTGCATCACTGGTAAAATGGACATCATATCCATTCCTAGTCCATTAAAAAAAAAAAGTCCATGTACTCTACTGTCTCTGCCAGGCCAACACCAGTAGTTTATTGACCGTTTGTCACAGGACACCCCACACTTCCTCAAAGGCAGAGCACATCTTAGCACAGGTCAGTGCTGCAGAGAGCGGGTAGTTACTGATGGACACCGTCTTCTCGGTGTAGTCCACATTCACCTAATAAAAGACAAAGAGATCGGTAACACAGATATTTGATGCTCAGAGCAGTGAAAAGCTATCACGTAGTTTCTTACCGCTCCATGTGCAAAGGCTCCAATCACCACTGTAGCCGGTCCCTCCGGCACCAAAGACCGAGGACAGACGGCCTCTCCGGCAGAAGAGAAGGAGGTGGACATGCGAGGGCAGCCGGGAGGCAGATGGTCAGACACCGGGTTTTTAATCATCCTCAAAAGCCTCTGAGGACCGTCAGCAGCCCTGACACTCAGCTTGTGCAGCAGCTGAACTAAGATACAAGAACAGAAGAGAGAATGAGCAGATCAGCTAGGCAGAGGGAGAGTTTGGGACATGAAACAATAAAATAGGTGACTGAATGTGTTTTACTTTGCCGAGACAAACATCAGCTCATAAATATGTAGTTTGTACACAGAAAGCATTCAAAATGAATAGTTTACCCATAAGGCCACAGAAGCGAGTAAAGGTCCTTGGGATGCGGGTCTGTGGGTTGATCTCTATTAAGGCGTTTTTCTCTGTGTGGACGTAAACCTGCAACAGGCCTGCCCTGTTCAGTGGGCTGTCCATCAGCATGAGTAGACTCTGGTAAAAGGAAATAAAATATTTAAGTTATTTTTTTTTTTTTTTAACTGCTACTACACAGACATGAAAGAGAAAGAAAACAAAAAACAAAGGCAAAAAAAGGACCAAAAACTCTATTATACAGTTGTACATTTCAACAAATACTGGCAGTAGAATTGTATTGATACTACTACTGCTTTAAATAGATGATATGGATTGAAAACAGACAATTTGTCATTGTACTGTATTGGTGCATCTCCAACGCACCAGCACCATGGACATTACAATTCACTGCAGGTCACAAGAATGACTTGATTTTTAGACACAGAACAACATTGGGATTTCGAGGCTGATCTATATTTCTGAGAGTTTGGATGTTAAGTGTTGTACTTATTGAGTGCTTACCTGATGTGTGATGTCAGGTCTTATATGTCCCGGATTCCTTCCACTTTTGACGATTATATTTTTGTGTTGGTCACAGTTTAACAGCTCAAAGGTTTTTCCGACCTGTGAAATACAAAACATGAACTTACTGTGAAGTTAGCTCAAGTTAAAGAAAGGTATGGTTGCTGATGTCACTTCTACTGGTGGGAGGCAGGGGGCTGCATCACAACAACAAACAAACACGAGCCTGACGCTTCACCTTGACTGTTTCTAACGACGCTCCCTCCAGAACAACCACCAGCCTCCTGTCTGCCATGCGGTCGTGCAGGCTGCGGAGATGTTTGGCAGGTTTTGGCTCATATTCGTCCAAATGTTCAAGACCACGCTTCTTCTCATTAGGGCCCGCCATGATGCCTTCGGCTGGATTGTCGCAGAATAGGTGCGTCACTGCAAAAAAAAAAGTGCGCGTTCACGAGACTTACAACAAATAAGTGCGTATGTTTAATCAAAAGCTACTGCAATACTGTAATTGTACTGTAGTGCTATTTTCTCTTTTAAATTACTTCTTAAAATACATTTTTACAGACTGGCTTTTATGTGATGTCGTCGCTTTTCTGTTTTATTTTTATTTGTTGATTTTACAAAATTATTTTACTATATATATATTTTATTTTTATTTTTTATTTTATAGCACTTTATAAACTCTATATATGCTATATAAATAAAGTTATTATTATTAAATATATATATATATATATATTATTATATTATTTTATGTATATAAAAAATGTTTTTATTTGTGCAAGCGCGCGCCCAGACCACCAGCGGCGCCGTCGACACCGTCATGACCTCACTCATGTGCGCCGGATGTTCTTCCACAACGTGTTGAGGGAAAATTCACGTGTGGGTATTTTAATCTTACAGCGTACAAGCAGAAGTTTGATCAAGAGGAACAGATTCACCGGTGAGTTTGTGGAGAATTGTTTCTGAGATAATTATGTAAACACTCAGTCGGTCAGTGTTAATAACTGAGATCGTAATTTTAACTTGCAAACACGACATGCGGAATTGGGTCAACTCACGTTAATGTTCTATGTCTGGCTGGTCATTACAGCTTATTTTATCAGTACTATGTCACTGTTAAAGAAAAGCGTTTGAACGCATTCATAATTTAACATTTAGGGTACGTATGTCTCCAGGAATGTGATTTTGAATCCATATAAAATAGCATCTGTAGAAAGTACAAAAAAAATTGTCTATGGTGAACTGAGTCACGTGTGAGACTGCATCTGGCCTGCCCCTTGCTCACTTTTAAATTAGATACCCATCGAAGTGTTTGTCTTACATAATAATAATAATAATAATAATAATAATAATAATTATCACAAGTGACTTCGTGTCATACAGTTGGTCTGCAGGCCTGTTTCCCCCAGAGCTCAGTCACCATAGATTAATTTAAATTACTTAAGATAAGGTTACAGTTTTTGACAGTTTCTCTGTTTGACATTCTTTGACGTAATGAGCTGACTTCTGCTTCCTCCAATAACTGCCGCTGTCTTCTACCAAAGACCACAATATCTTTGTTTTAAGAAATGATCATAGGTGAGCTCATATATCCTGATTTCACTGTAAATAATGAAACATTATTTTCCTGTCCCTTTCAGAGTGTCTGTGTAGCTTGGAGTCATGGGTCGTAAGTTGGATCCCACCAACACGGTGAAGAGAGGGCCAGGAAGAAAATCCAGGAAGCAGAAAGGAGCAGAGACTGAGTTGGCCAAGTTTATACCTGATGGTGATTATCAGCTATTTATAAAGATGCATATTAACTCTGGAAAACTACACCATAAAGTTTAGAAGCTCTTGTTTTTGCTGACTTTATCAAGTGTTTCTTTTCTGTTTGCAGAGGAAACAGCACTACCAAAACGCTTGTCAAGTAGAGGCAGGAAAAGGTAAGAAGATGACTGATTATACAACATAAAATAACATTACTCAGTTTACAAGTTACTCATTCATATTGTCATTTTACAGAGCTGCAAAAAGAGTCCTGAAAAAAAAGCCTAAAGATGTCGCTGAGGAACAGCCCAAGAAAGGTATTCACATCAGTGTTTGCACATGTTTGTGGATAGAAGGAAACTATTAACTGTGTGTTTGACTTTCAACTGATGTGCCTTTGAACTATTGCTAAAGTTAATTTTTAAATACGTGGTATTTATTATCTGTTTCTTTTCATCCTAAAGGATTCACTGATGAGAACAGTAAATGGTTGAAACCAACAACGAGGAAGAGAAAAATAGATGAACCTGAAGGCGATGATGACAGTGATGAGCACTGGGAGGAAGAAGACGACGACGAGGAGGAGGAGGAGGAGGAGCAGCAGGAACAAACGAAGAAGGGAGGAAAGGACCAAGGAAAGAAGGGCGCCAAATTAGGAATTAAAGAAGTGAAGGAGGATGATAAGGAGGAGGAGGAGGAGGAGGATGACGATGAAGATGAAATGGTTGACGACTATGGTGCGCTTGATGACAGCAGTGGTGAGGAAGCAGTGGAAGAAGACAGTGATGGAGAGGAAGTAAGTCAAATTGTTCTTTAACTTTTTGCCAGCCACCACTTTGTTGTGTTTCTCTGTATTTAAGACTCAAAAATTGACTACAATTGTGATTCAGTTGTTTAAATTGAATTATTGGCCAAAACTGCTAATTTGCCCATACAATCCCTAATTGACTTAAAACATCCTCCCACTTCACAGTTGATATATTGTGTCATTAGGTGTGGCAACATAATCCGGGAGTGTGTTGGCTGGTTAATGTGGTAAACACAGTTAATTTGATTTAGTGACAACTTTCCTTGTTTGTTTTTTTTCCACATTTAGCTTCTTCCAATTGAGCGTGCAGCCAAGAAAGCGAAAAAGCTGAAAGAAACCATGGGTCTAGAGAGTGATGATGATGATGATGATGATGATGATGATGATGAGGAGGAAGATGGTGGTAAAGAGAAAAAGAAATCAGATGCTGACACGGACGAGGAAGACACAGTACAAGCCAACATGGATGAAATGGATACATTTAGACTACCTGGTGCCGAGGAAAGTGAGAAGGAAGGTGAGTGACTTACAATTCTTTCCAAAAAGATTCTTCTCTTTTAAAAGCAGCAAACGAGTTCTAAATATTTTTCTTTTCTGTGTTGTCAGGCATCCTTCCCCTGGACCTGAAGACAATCTATCAAAGAATTAAGGACAACATCGATGTCCTTTGTAATTTCTCTTCAAAAAGGGAAGAGGGCAAAGACAGATCAGAGTACATCGCTCTTCTGAAGAAGGATCTCTGTACTTATTACAGCTACAACCACTTCCTCCTTGAGAAATTAATGGACCTCTTCCCTCTCTCAGAGGTGGGTGATCTCTGACATTGTGATGTTCTTCTCATAGTTTGAACATGTTGTCAAAACATGATTGAGAATGTGTGTTGAGTGAAATTATTTCTTGACTGTAAAGTTTTTTGTTTTTTTTTCACATTTTTTTTTTACCCTCTTTCTTGCCTACAGCTGGTTGATTTCCTTGAGGCCAATGAAATTCAGAGACCCGTCACTATTCGGACCAACACACTGAAAACAAGGAGGAGGGATCTCGCTCAGGTAACTGCTCGGGGTGGGAGAGATTCTTCAAATTCTTAGTGTGCTTTGTAGCATTTCTTGCAAGTCAGCTCACTAAGAAGCAAAAATAAAGTAGTAATATAATTGATTTGTTAAAGGATTTAACAGCACTTTAGGTCAAGGAAATAACAATATGCGAGTTCTGCAGTTAGCCAAACAAAAACTCCACCTGGAGTAGAAAAACAAGTGGCAGAAATAAATGGAAGATTAAAATATATACGAATGTTGATTGTTTGGCTTTAGTTTTCAGTGTGTCAGAAATGAACCCCTTCATCAAATGACTAATGTGTCTCGTGTCAAATGCTGCCTTCAAGTCCTCATTTGTTAAACTGTGTTTTTCCTCGTTTTAGGCCTTGATCAACAGAGGAGTGAACCTTGATCCACTGGGAAAATGGTCTAAAGTTGGTTTGGTCATCTATGACTCCTCAGTGCCTGTTGGTAAGTTTCAGCACATTCACATCAACAATCTGACTGAAGCTATTACCGATCTTTTGGTGGAGATCATCTGAGGCCGACTGTAACCACACAAGCTTTAATTGTAATTCGTTCTGTGTTTTAAAACAGGTGCAACCCCAGAGTATCTGTCTGGTCAGTACATGCTGCAAGGAGCCTCCAGTTTTCTGCCCGTCATGGCGCTCTCTCCACAGGAGGGAGAGTTAGTGTTGGACATGAGCGCAGCTCCAGGAGGCAAGACCACCTATATTGGTAAGACGTGCTGCAGTTATACATTGTTATACTCATTTTATAAGGCGTTTCAAATGGTTTAATATGGACTAGGGCTGCAGCTAATGATTATTTTCATCAAGGTTTAATCTGCTGATTTGTTTTTTTGGATTTGTTACTTTTTAATTGACTAGAACGCAACATGACATATTCAAAGGGGCAGTGTGTAGTATTTGCAGATTGCAACCAACTAAAACTGATTATTAAGTTTAGATTACGTTTCTGACAATAGAGCCCCCTTAATGCTACACACTGTTCCTTTTTATAAAAAAAAATTTATATTCAACCGGCATCAAAAACCCAAAGATGTTCAGTTTACTCCCATATTTGTAAAAAAGCATTTTTGCTTAACAAACAGCGGAAACAATCACAATAGCTTTTGCTTCAGCTGTAATGTAGACAAATGCAGACTCTTGTCACATGCAAGTTAAATCTGTTTAACGACATTCGTGAACGTTCCACCCTCAGCTCAGCTGATGAGAAACACTGGGATGATCGTGGCTAACGACGCCAACGCTGACAGATTGAAGAGTGTTGTGGGCAACGTCCACCGTCTGGGGGTCACCAACACTGTCATCTGCAACTATGATGGAAGGCAGTTCCCAAAGGTGACGTTCATACATCTGTAGAAAAACATAATCTCTGTGGTTTACCCCGAGAGTTTTACAACGTGTGCTAACTTGTTGAAAACGTTTTGCCCACAGGTGATGAGTGGGTTTGACAGAGTGCTGCTTGATGCTCCGTGCTCAGGCACAGGAGTCATCGCTAAAGATCCAGCTGTGAAGACCAGCAAGGTGAAACACCGTTCACTGTTTACGTATGCACTCAAACATATTCTTTTGGTTTTAACAGTGTTTAATCGGTTGTTTTTTTTTTTTTCTTCCACCCTCCTATTAGGACGAGTCCGACATCCAGCGAGCTGCTCACCTGCAGAAAGAACTGATTCTGTCTGCCATTGACTCTATCAATGCCGAGTCCACTTCAGGAGGATATCTGGTCTACTGCACATGTTCAATAATGGTATGTGCACTGTACAGGCAGCTAATCTATTCTTAGGTTTACATGTTATATGTGAGTATTTAGAAAAGAGGTTTGGGTACTGATCAAAATGTGTTCCACCAGGTGGAGGAGAATGAATGGGTGGTGGACTACGCTTTAAAGAAAAGAAATGTCAAATTAGTTCCCATTGGACTTGACTTTGGCAAGGAAGGCTTCACCAGGTAAATACGATAAACTTGTGTTCTCTCTTAATGGTTGAGTTATTGAAAGGCAGGTACTCGGACCTTCAACACTAAATTTGTTTTTCCATTGTTTCAGGTTCAAAGAACATAGATTCCATCCTTCTATGCGACTGTCTCGCCGATTTTACCCTCATTCCCACAATATGGATGGGTTCTTTGTGGCCAAGCTGAAGAAATTCTCCAATGTAGTTCCAACTGCGATGGCAGGAAAAGGTAAGTCTTTCTCTTAAGAGCACGTGCCAACTTTCATCATGTTAGTTAACATGTTAAACATGAACTCATCCTCTGTCTGTTGTTTATGTAGAAGAAGAGAATGCAGATGCTCCTGAGGCAACAGCTGTGACAAGTTCTCCGAAAGGGAAACCATCCAAAAGTGGCAAGACAAAGAAGATTGTCCCCGGCAAGGCAGGTCACTTAAAGGGAAAACCCCAAGCCAATGGAACAGCAGCCAAGAAACCCACAAACATCAAGCCAAAAGGCAAGAAGGACTCACCTGCTGGACCAAAAACAGCAAACATCAAGTCAAAGGGAAAGAAGGACTTACCTGCTGGACCAAAAAAGGCAAAGATTGCCAAGATGGATGGAGAGACTGTGCAAGGGGCAGAGGAGGCCAAGAAGCCTGCGGTGAAGACAGCTGATGACATGGAAGCATCAAAGGCTGACAAAAAGGAGGGTAGCAGATTTGAGAAAAAGGGCAAAAACAGAAAATCACCCATGAAGGCAACGGACAGAATGGGAAAGAATAAATTCAGAAAGTTGACGCACATGTTGGGGAAAAAAGGCGGAGAATGACGGCGTGTGCAGCGTGATAACTTGTACCAGATTATGTAAAAGCTTTGTAGAGCTTCCCTGCAGACCCAGATCCCGTCACCTAACACATGTGTGTGCTGTACTACACTGTACTGTATGTGTCAGCCAGATGTTATTTGTAAGGCCCATGTCAGGTGACTTAGACTGGTTCGCGATGCTCTCACTTAAGTTGGGTCCTCCCTTTTTTTTTTATATGTATTCCGGAATATTCATAGTGTTTCTCTGTTGATTTAATCGCAGGGTGGGACAACATCCATCAATCTATGAATCTGTGAAACAATAAATCTTTTAAGATACCTTCATCGTCACTTGTTTTGATTCATCAGTTGGAAGTTTCACCGTCTTTCTGCTACATCAAGATCATCTGGTCACTTAATGGGTATAGCTCAGTGTTCAAGTCAGTTAGGGGGAAGACTTTGAGCATTTAATAGCTTGACTATCTCTCTTTACATATTAGACATCTACAAATGTAGTTTGACCTGTGGATTTAGTTTTGATTAGCCACAATTCCAGTTTCGGATATCTACAATTCAAATTATGAGTATTCAGAACTCTCTTTCAAGCTATCTTGAATTTAGGTTCTGACTAGTCCTAATGTAAAAAGTCCTACCATGTCAGATATTGAAAATGTAATCCGATTCTCAATAGAAGTCAGGATATTCTTGAAATTAAAGTTTTGACTGGGTCATAAATAGACTGTAAATATCTTGAATCCTGTCCATCTTAAATATGCTAAAGAGTCTTGCCATATGTAAGCTAGTATTTATTCAATTTATATAGTTTTTCTTTGACAAATTTATATCGGCAGTCTGTGGAAGCAGCCAATCAGATCGGTCCATTTCGGACCGGAAGCTGTGTTGTTTACATTTTCTAAGATGGCGGCGGGGATGTATTTGGAGCATTATTTGGACAGTAAGCTGTTTATTATGCGTTTTAATGCTGAAAAAAACATTTCATCCTACTTAGCTCGCTTTATAGTTTGTCTTTGGTTGTGCGATGCAGCTCCTGCACAATCCTCGTGCGGAATCAACCGATATAAACGTTTCATAACGGTCAGCGGGTTTAGGCTCGGTCTATTTGCTGGGGTAGCCGTTAACGCTTCTCACCATAGCTAAAAGGGATGCAGTTTGAGATTACACAACACAACGTACTGTAACGAGCCCCCTGCCGTGCTGACCTTTATATTTGAATTAATTAAACAAGCAAATAAATGTTTCTGTAATATGTTTCAATGTTAGTTCAAGCGGTAACGTTAATGGTAGCCGGCGCATTGATTAACACATGATTACGCTAGCTATCCTGCTTGCATCAATGTTATAGTTTCATGTTGATCGCACTGATTTAACAGTTTGTTGTCTCCTTCTTCACGACACTAGGCATCGAAAACTTGCCCTTCGAGTTGCAGAGAAACTTCAATTTGATGAGAGATCTAGATCAGCGCACAGAAGGTGAGAACAATGACCTGTCTAATAACTGTGGATTATAACTCTGAATGTCAGCTGTAATGTTAAAGAGACCTGTTACAGCACACTACGCCGCCTCAATGTCTAATGATTGAACAATGTGAGCTGTGCCGTGGTTCCCAACCTATGGGTCGGGGTCCCCAAAAGGATCCTAAGGGGAGACTGCAGGGTCCAAAGATAATTATAGGAATATAATCTAGCCAGTAACCTTGCTACTTCATGTACTGCTCAACATAAGCTGTTTATGCATGCTAAACAATAAAACAGACACTTAAGATTTAAGTAAATTGTCAATGCAATTATTATTTGTATATTTGATTTTTCTTTTTAATTTTAATTTAAATATTTGTTTTATCCCATTGGTAATTTTGACTTAACGGTTGCAATGTTGTTTTAGATGTTTTACTTAGTTTTCCTTCTCTCTCTTCCAGATCTAAAGGGACAGATAGACTCTCTGGCTAAAGAGTACACAGCCAATGCACGGACTCTTTCCTCTGAACAAAAGCTGTCCATACTGAGGCAGATTCAGCAGTCTTACAGTAAATGCAAGGAGTTTGGAGATGATAAAGTGCAACTGGCCATGCAGACCTATGAGATGGTTAGTTTCCTAGATATAGACATAATATCCATACATCTGTAGGTAATATGAGATAGAGATAGACCCACCATGCCACAATCAGTCTGCTGAAATTCTATTCTCTGCAGGTCGACAAACACATCAGACGTCTTGACACCGACCTGGCTCGGTTTGAGGCCGACCTGAAGGAAAAGCAGATCGAGAGCACGGACTATGATTCCACCTCCAGCAAAGGGAAGAAAGGTGTGTGTCCACTATATGGGCTTGATATCTCCTCTATGTTTTTGCACAGAGGACTGTCAGGGTAACCAAAACCAAATTTCATGGAATAATGAAGTGTTTTTTTGTAATTCCAGTTGAAACCAGACAGAAGGAAAAGAAGACCGCTAAAACAAGGTCTAAAGTGAAGAGCTCAGATGAAGATAGCAGTCCTAAGACTGCACAGAAGAAAGTCAAACTCCTTCAACCGTACGTTGGGTGGCTCATTTCCAGCTTGTGATGACCATGTGTTTACTTTATTTTTGTAATTTTAGTTTTATGATCGTATTCCCTTTCTCACTTTCAATACTTTCCTCCCACCATCAGAGGAGAATTCAACAGCCCTGCCACCAACTTTGGGAATGTGCATCCATCTGATGTGCTGGACATGCCCGTGGACCCCAACGAACCCACCTACTGTCTGTGTCATCAGGTCTCCTACGGCGAGATGATCGGCTGTGACAACACTGATGTGAGTTTGGTTTTTCAGTCTCAGGGGTCACATAAAGTACCTTTTGAGATTGTAATTTCCCCAAATCTTTCTGCATTAAACAAGACTTTGGGTCTAGAGAAGCAGCGATACTGACATCAGTCCTGATGTTGCCTTACACATGAAAGTGACCCCAGTCTCTTCCACACAATGGTGGATGATGAATGCAGCTAATTAATTACACACTGGTATCGGATTGGTACTCGGTATCGGCCGATACCCGAACGGCCAGGTATCAATATCAGTATCTGGACTGAAAAAGTTCAGATCGATGCATCCCTGGGTGGGACTTAATATTGTGAAGGATTAGGTTGAAATATTTAAAAGCATGTAGGATAAACATTACACAAAGAACGCTGACATTGCTCTTTACTTTAATTGTGTGGCTAAATAATGCATTGCATCAGTTGCACTTACAGAAGAGGTGGAGGCGAACAAAGTGGAACGTGTTCGTGTATATTTTGGTTGTGTGTGATGTTCTGGACTGAACCCGAAGGTATAAAGAAAATAAACAGAATCAAACAGGCAACAAAAGAGGACAGAAAAGAGCTCATAACGTGGTTCCAGAACAGACAAAAATACCTACAAAGAAAGTGTTAAATAAATACAAACATTTGTCAAAAGACAAGAATTAGAGACAGTTAATGGTTGACTATCTTAACACATCATGGTTTTCTGTTGTTTTGTACCTCGTGGATTCTATATCCGCTTTCTCTATTGCTGATGAGTTGCATTGCCTGTATTCTTCAAAATAATGACATGTTACAAGAAAAGGAAACATGCAATTTTTGTATAAATATGTGCTCAAATACCTTTTTTTTCAACAAACATTACATCTGATTACACAGACGATGTATTTATTCCGTTCAGAAGACGTGTAATTCGAGTGACCTTTCCAAACAACAAAGATTAATGTTTCTTTTTATTTAAATAACATTAATATTAAATACCATTCAAATATCGCAAAGGTCAACAACAAAGCACTTTTATAGTACAGGCCTGAAATTCAGAAGATTAAATAAGAATATTGCAAAAAAAAAGTAATTTGTTATTGTACATAAAGTACAAGTACATCATTCCCCATATGTATGTATATATATATATATATATATACAGGTGCTGGTCATATAATTAGAATATCATCAAAAAGTTGATTTATTTCACTAATTCCATTCAAAAAGTGGAACTTGTCTATTATATTCATTCATTACACACAGACTGATATATTTCTAATGTTTATTTCTTTTAATTTTGATGATTATAACTGACAACTAAGGAAAATCCCAAATTCAGTATCTCAGAAAATTAGAATATTGTGAAAAGGTTCAATATTGAAGAGACCTGGTGCCACACTCTAATCAGCTAATTAACTCAAAACACCTGCAAAGGCCTTTAAATGGTCTCTCAGTCTAGTTCTGTAGGCTACACAATCATGGGGAAGACTGCTCACTTGACAGTTGTCCAAAAGACGACCATTGACACCTTGCACAAGGAGGGCAAGACACAAAAGGTCATTGCAAAAGAGGCTGGCTGTTCACAGAGCTCTGTGTCCAAGCACATTAATAGAGAGGCGAAGGAAAAGATGTGGTGGAAAAAAGTGTACAAGCAATAGGGATAACCGTACCCTGGAGAGGATTGTGAAACAAAACCGATTCAAAAATGTGGGGGAGATTCAGAAAGAGTGGACTGCAGCTGGAGTCAGTGCTTCAAGAACCACTACGCACAGACGTATGCAAGACATGGGTTTCAGCTGTCGCATTCCTTGTGTCAAGCCACTCTTGAACAACAGACAGCGTCAGAAGCGTCTCGCCTGGGCTAAAGACAAAAAGGACTGGACTGCTGCTGAGTGGTCCAAAGTTATGTTCTCTGATGAAAGTAAATTTTGCATTTCCTTTGGAAATCAGGGTCCCAGAGTCTGGAGGAAGGGAGGAGAGACACACAATCCACGTTGCTTGAGGTCCAGTGTAAAGTTTCCACAGTCAGTGATGGTTTGGGGTGCCATGTAATCTGCTGGTGTTGGTCCACTGTGTTTTCTGAGCTCCAAGGTCAACGCAGCCGTATACCAGGAAGTTTTAGAGCGCTTCCTGCTGCTGACCAACTTTATGGAGATGCAGATTTCATTTTCCAACAGGACTTGGCACCTGAACACAGTGCCAAAGCAACCAGTACCTGGTTTAAGGACCATGGTATCCCTGTTCTTAATTGGCCAGCAAACTCGCCTGACCTTAACCCCATAGAAAATCTATGGGGTATTGTGAAGAGCATGATGCGAAATGCCAGACCCAACAATGCAGAAGAGCTGAAGGCCACTATCAGAGCAACCTGGGCTCTCATAACACCTGAGCAGTGCCACAGACTGATCGACTCCATGCCACGCCGCATTGCTGCAGTAATTCAGGCAAAAGGAGCCCCAACTAAGTATTGAGTGCTGTACATGCTCATACTTTTCATGTTCATACTTTTCAGTTGGCCAAGATTTCTAAAAATCCTTTCTTTGTATTGGTCTTAAGTAATATTCTAATTTTCTGAGATACTGAATTTGGGATTTTCCTTAATTGTCAGTTATAATCATCAAAATTAAAAGAAATAAACATTTGAAATATATCAGTCTGTGTGTAATGAATGAATATAATAGACAAGTTTCACTTTTTGAATGGAATTAGTGAAATAAATCAACTTTTTGATGATATTCTAATTATATGACCAGCACCTGTATATATGTGTATATATGTATATATATATATATGTGTGTGTGTGTGTGTGTGTATGTGTATATATATATATATATGTGTGTGTGTGTGTGTGTGTATATATATTCCTAGATGTGAACCACAAAGATGCTTCGGAGTCTTGCTCTGTAGAGAAGGTCACAGATGACTAACTACACACACTGTACGAGATGTCTCTTTTTGAAAAGATGGATTCTGCTTTTGATCTTGTGTTTTGAATCGTCTTGTCTCGACTAAGTGCTCCATTTGCAGGAATACTTAACAGAAGAATATAATTTTTGTCTTTACTCCAGTGCTCCATCGAGTGGTTCCATTTTGCATGCGTGGGCCTGACAACCAAACCAAGAGGCAAATGGTAAGAAACCCGGGCCGTAATGTACCGTCCTGTTTTCAATGCATCCGTAAAAAGTGTGAATTGTTACTCATTCAAGTCAACTAAATTATTTTTTTGCTCGGCATTTTCTTCTTTCTATGCAGGTATTGTCCACGATGCTCTCAAGACAGAAAGAGAAAATAAAAACACCTGGAAATAAAATCACGGACACAGATCAGATGGAAAATGAGAAGAATATTTCTTCATTAGTTACTAGACATTTTTTTTCTCATCTTCCTTAACATTTGGTGCTTTTTCTTTTGATTTATGTAATTTGCCTTGGTCTGATGCGGTGTGTGTTAAAGAGCCAAGTGGTTACAAATGTATTTAAAATTTGTTTTTTTAAACAGTTAACATGTTTTATTTCCAGTTACTTTTGGTGCTCTTATTGTGATTTATTTTTTTACATTTTGTTTCACGAGTGAATAATAAACACTACAACTGCCCCCAGTGGTTTAACAGTTCCAAGTTGTCACAATACTTAATACTATATTCATATGTACTACAACATTTTCTCTAAAAAACAGTTAGGCCATGGATACTTTTTTTGCTTTGTTGTATAGTTAGTTTCTTGTGCTTAGCCTTGAAACACTAGTTTTATGTTTTAAGTATAAGGAGAGGGCAAAAGAACACAGGGACAAATGCTGCATCCCGACAGTATTAGTTACCTGTGGGTAGTGAGTTGAACCATTTCATTTTAACATTTGATTGAGTGCTGTATAGAAAGTAAGACATTTTGTGAAAAGTATTGTCATTTCTGTAGCTGAAACATTGGTACAATGGAGAGGGGGTGATTGTGTTGTCAATCATTTGAATACAGCTACTACCTCAAAAAAACACGTGCCTTTGTGGTCCTTTTTCTGTGATTTATATCCAATAGTCTGCCTCCATCGTGTTGTAGTGGCCATAGTCATCCTGTAGGTGGCGGTGCTGCGTAAAAACGCGCTGGCAACGTGTGACGTCAGAACTTCACCGCTTTGGCGCGATATCCAAATAAAGTTTGAAAAGTTGCGGATTCAAACAGCTCGTGAGCGGCGGAGAGAGCAGACCACACGTTAGTCTTCAGAGGATCGTCATCGTGGATAGCGGGACTGCAGCCTTCTCAGGTGAGCGTTATCTTTGTAACTTATTAAAAACAGAGTTGTTAGCTAAGTGTAGCTGCATTCCTTTCAGTTAAAAAATAAAGTTACAGCCAACAAGTGATGATACGCAGTTAGCAGCTAGCTAGCATGCTATCTTTGCTAGCAGTAGCGCTAAGTTAGTTGTTTGTCTGTCTAGCTTGATTCACAACAAACCAGTAATGTTTGCATGATAGAAATACGATGTCACTTGTTCTAAATCAGTCATATTGAATAATATTAGCTGGCAGGTTAGAATTAAGTCGTGAAATGTAGCTTCACGGTAAGAGGTAACTGAAATATTGAGTTGTTGTTATGGTGATCGAAAATGCTAACGTTACTTGGCTAACTAGCTAACTTATGTAGTTAACGCTACAGGTCAATGATACATTGGAACTACAATGCTAAAAATCTAATGTAATGTTTCTTTGTTTGTTCTTGACTCAGGGATGTCGTGGGACTTTTTTGTGCCCGTGTGCGTGGGCGACCTGGTGAAGAGTGGGGGGATTAACCAGTACGTCGTTCAGGATGTGGTGTCTCCAAAACAGCTGCCACCCCATCTCAGTAGTAAGTAGCTGGTTCACGTTGTGGAGATGTTCTCAATGGGGCTGTTGTTTGTGACCAGTTTCTGTCTCTCTCTTCCACACAGAATTTAAGGCTGCATTGAGAAGCCAGGGGCCCATGTGTATATTGGAACACTTTGACACAGGCTACAGCGTGCTACAGTAAGCAGTGATAATATATAGCCGGCTATGGTTATTGTTGTTAAGAATGGTATGGGTACAAAACTGCTGTTTTCTATTTTAAGGCAATGCCGCTCAGTGGATCTGGGTGTGAAAGAGGATACTTTGGAGTTACTAATACAAGGTTGGAGCTTTTTTTTCCATGTTTCTGCGTTTCAATAAACAATACAACTGTGATATGAAGTGATAACATTTTGTCTGTTTTTTTTCCCTCAGTGGTTAGTGGCTTGGCTGCTTCCCTGCCAGCGCTTCTCGTGTCCACCTCCTTCCCAGCTACAGAGCGCAAAGAGAATCTTAATGCAGTTAAAATGAGTGTCTACCTGCTCTGCAAACTCACAGAGACCTTTGAGAGTGACTCCTGCAGACAGAATATTGTCACGGCACCCGGGAAGGTATGGGTATAATATAAATACACTTCGCCATTGTCTATGACTGGTAATTTTTGCTATGTTAAACAATTTTAAATGCCCGCATGATGATATCACGGCAAGTTTGATGATCCGGTCAGACCAAGAGATTGTTGCTTCTAGCCTGCTGTTAGATGGGTAATCTTGGTGATGTGGTGGAGTTTTATTGCACTACTGTAAGGGCCCAACCACAGTTAACTTGTCATCTTCGATGACCTCTGCCCCCCCCAAGAGCAATGGGACGGGTCAGGTAGGAGATGTCAGACAATGTGCGGATGTTTGTTTGTGTGTGTGTGTTGCTGTATGAATGTATATGTATCAGCTGGCAAGAAGCTATAATCTATAGTTGGTTTGGCAATAATGAACTACATTCTTTGGTAACCTGAGGGCATATAATGACCGTTAACTTCAATGGTCAATGTTATTGTTTGTGTAGCTTTTGAGTTGAGTATCTGTTGGGCTCAACAGGTTTTGTCTGTCTTACACAGGGTGGTAAAAAGGGCAAAGGCGGCGGAGAAGGACTGCTACAATGGGACAGCGAGAGGGAGAAGGTTCTGCAGGCCCTCGTCCAGCTCCTCCAGCTGGACATCTGTTCCCTCTGGAGCCTCTCCCTGGTAGAGGAAGAGTTCATCAGGTACCCAGCTGATTAGGGAGCTCTGGGCAAGAGTACAGTGTCAGACTTGGCTGTCTTTATTCAGTTAGTTGGTGTCATTTACTACTTTCTTCTTAGAATCTTTACCTGGCACTGATAACATTGGAGCGTATATGAAAATTACCTTTTCTTGACACTGTCGTACCCAACCTGAAAGTTTAGATGGTCGTGTTCAGTTGCTTAATTTAATGTCAACATGAACAAACTTTTGTATTCTTTGTTTTGTCCCTTTCTTCTCTTAGTTGTGTGACCTGCTGTTGCTATAAACTACTTGAGAACCCAACCATCAGCCATGTCAAGTGCAAACCCACCAGAGATTGTATAATCCATCTACTGGGAGTGCTAATCAAGAAGTACAACCACCTTCTGGGTTAGTCTCGCAGTCAAATGCTGAAATTGTGAGCGATGGTTATAACTGAGGGAGCATGTCAACCCGTTCAGTTTCATAAATATGTATAATAAATCATTACAATATCTATTGCTATTCAGCATACATTTAGATGTTAGTTTATACCCTGTCTTAACTCTTACAGGTGCAAGTGTAAAGGTGATCCAGTTGCTGCAACACTTTGATCAGTTGTCGTCCGTGTTTGCTCAGGCCGTGTCTGTGTGGAGCACAGAGTATGGAGTCAGAGCGATCATAGGAGAAGTTATAAGGTCAGTACGCATAATTTCTGTGCATATTGAGTTTACAACAAATAATCCTTGTTGTTAATCTGATCTAATCTTTGGTTGCAAATAATCATGTTTGGAAATTCATACCTTTCTTTTACCCCATTCCTTCAGGGAGATTGGCCAGAGGTCAAGTGAGGAGCTGGCTAGAGAGGCGTCGGGGGTCAAAGCTTTTTCTTCCTTCATTGCAGAACTCGGCGCCCTGGTGCCTGAATTAATGATCCCCAACATTAGTGTGCTCATCACACACCTGGAAGGAGAGGTACTGAATACCTGAACATGTTCATCCTGCTAACATTGAATCATTACAGGAGTATTAATAGGAGTTTGCTGTGACAATTATATGACATGAACGTATATATAATAATAATGATGTTGGGACATCCCGTTCCCTACAAACACTGCTCTTTGTGCCCTTCAAGACTTTCTGTGTAAAGGTTTGTGTAGTTTGCCAGTCTGAGGGTGACTGAGCTGTAATTAAATTTAATTATCCTTTGTTGTGATTAGCTTGTACAGTAATGTTAGCCTGATGTCAACAGTAATGTGCTACACTGGCTTCAGAGTGACAGACCACTTGTAGTAATATTTTCACACATGACGGCATCCAATTACATTTAAGATAGTCTCCATATTTGAGATCACTATGATGTGACTCTCGAAAGGAAAATAATGTGAATTTCTGCCGTTTTATTTGGTCATTGAGTTCTGTTGCTCGGGTGCAATGTTTGCTTTTATAGTGGCACAATGCATCACCCCTCATTGAGGACTTGGTGAGTGTTGCCATATTGGCACAAGAAACCAGAAGAAAAAGCACAAACTCTGTGATTCTTCAGAGTCCCTTCCACACATAGCTTATGTTTATTTTTCCTCCTGTTCAGTTGACATGTTGCCCAGTGATGAGACCAAGGCGAATACGAGCTTACTGAAGGAGAGCTGGGTTCTTCTTGCTTTTTATTGGCAGGTAATCTTGGCAGTGCAGAGGAGCATTCCTGCTCTGCTGTAAGGGCCTGCCTACAGTGACTTGGCTCAACCCAAATTATTCCTCTAAAGTCACAGCGGAGTAATTGCTGGGATGAAGCCGACAGTGTGTTTGTTGTGTGTGTGTCTGTGTGCGCGCGTGCATGTGTAAAAGGCAAGGAGTTCACCCAGCTCTCTTTGCTGTTCAGGTAGCAATGAGTTGCTTCTTTGGTAATCTGAGGGCAGAGTTCAGAAACTCAACTCGAGACAAAGTAATGTTTATATACTCGAGTCAATTTAATTCACTCAGGTAGTTTTAATGCATCATTCTTGCAAGATTTGCCACGAAACACCAAGATACAGAAATTCTCACTAAAGAGTCAATGATGAATATAATTATGTTACTGACACACGATTAGAAGCAGACTTATTCCCTGTTTCCTACTGTTTTTCCAGAGCCACACAATGCGCGTCGCTGTGTGTGAGGTGCTGGGGGAGATCCTTGTGCGGGTCCTGTGTGGTGACGGGCTCGACGAGTCCGGTAAAGCCGACCGCGACCGCTTCTTTGACACGCTGCAGGAACATCTGCACGACACGCATTCCCATGTCAGGGCACGTGTGTTGCAGGTCTACGCACGCATAGTCAACAGCAAAGTATGTTTCATTCTCTTACTGAGTATCTGTAAATGCATGTCGTTAAATGCTCCACTTGGTAATGATCACAATCTTTGTGTGTTTAGGCACTGCCCCTGTGTAAGTACAGTGAGGTGATGGAGCTGGCTGTGGGGCGACTGATGGACAAATCTATAAATGCGGTGAAGAGTGCTATCCAGCTGTTGGCAGCATTCATCGCACACAACCCCTATAGCTGCAAGGTCACTAGAAGCAACACAATTAATGATAACCCAGAAAAGCTTCTTCTTTTTCAGATTTCACAATCTCACTGAAATATGTTCTCGTCTCTTCTTCAGCTTAGCAGTGCCGATCTGAAGAAACCGCTGGAGAAAGAGACGACTAAACTGAGAGAGATGAAAGAGAAACTGGAGGGGAAAGCACCCGGTAAGGTTGAACCCAGAGAAGTTTATTTGTCTTTATGCTCAGTGACATGTCGCCCTGTGATGAGACCAAGGCGAATACGAGCTTACTGAGTGAGAGCTGGGTTCTTCTTGCCTCTATTGGCAGGTAATCTTGGCAGAGCAGAGGAGCGTTCCTGCTCTGCTGTAAGGGCCTGCCTACAGTGACTTGGCTCAACCCTAATTAGTCCTTTTTAAAGTTACAGAGGAGTAATCACGGGTATGAAGCAGACAGTGTGTGTACATGTGTGAGAGGCGAGGAGCTCACCCAGCTCTCTTCAATGTTCAGTCAGCTGTGAGTTGCTTCTTTGGTAATCTGAGGGTCAAGTTCAGAAACTCATTTGTTTAAAACCCTAATTTGATTTGAATGTTTACATTTTCACACCTTTTTTTTTTCATTTAACTTTGTCAGTTTGCTTCTGAAGTTAATGAAATGTTTGGAGTCAGAAACCACCCTAAGCAGCCACCTTTCAATTACAAATGGTATGATACTGATGGTGTAGCCTAATTATCCGCAACTGTGCAGAAATATTGTGTTTAAACAGAATGACAAGAAAAGTCATGCAACATTTAGAATTTGAATGTTGACGTTATGAATAAAGCTATTCTGTACAGCCCTTAACTTTTATTATCTCACAACTGTGTATCTAGCATAAGAATAATGTGGCACAATAACAAAATATGATCAAATGCTGACTCTCTAGAGCCCACCATTGAATCTAAATTTTTATCCAAAGAGCAGTTCTCTTACCATTCTGTCCTCCTGCTGCTAATTGATTTAATTTGTAACCTTTTTGTGTCAGTTGTTCCTCCTCATTTTCTTTGTAGCTCTAACCTGAGTCATCGTTATTGAATTTGAATCTTCCTTTTCCTCTCCCTTCCGGCAGTGGCGATAATTAAAGCATCCGAGCTGTGGGCCGCCATGGAGCCTGAGCTGCTCGTCACTGTCAGGGCAGAGCTGGAGCCAACAAGTGAAGCGGAGGAGGAGGATGTGGAGGAAGACAAGGAGGCGGAGGATGACCGAGCGACTGCAGTGAAGGTTGCTCAGTTCCTCCGCGTCAACAAATACAGGTGATGCTAATCACCGGTGTTGGCCCTGGTAAAAGTTGACCAAGAGTCACTACCTCAAGGAGTTCTTTCTCCCACACTGTCAACGAGCCAACAATATACGTGACGTTTCTTTTGTCTTCCCTCTCTTCAGGAATGCTGTGCGTCTTTGTGTCAGAGCCCACGGCTGCTTCCCTGAATCTGAAATGTTTGCTTCTCTGTCCACTCTCACCCCTGAGACTTTAATGGACACACTGGCTCTGATATTCAAAGGTAAAGCCTGCACTCAGTTCACCTGATGCGTTTCTATCATAAGAGCTCTGATGCGAGTCCTAATGGAAGCATGATTGATCACATTTAATATTCAGTTCATTGCATTTCCTCTCGATTGGAGGAAATTTATTTCACATTATTGCTTACTTTCAAATCATTAAAACGGGCTGGTCTATAATATTTGTCTTTTTAAATGTGAATGTGAGTAGAGGATATATTTTAGAGCATAAAACACTGCCAGGTAAATGCGTGTAATTACAAAATGTCACTGTCATTACATGAAAGAAATGAGTACACTCAGTTGACGAACATAAAATGTTTGAGCTGCCTTTTGAAATTTTAGCCTTTGTTTGAAGGCTTTTGTCTTCTAGCAGTTCAGACAGGGAGAGCAAAAAACACAATTACAAGTTACATCCTAAATGTTTGCTGTCTGTCGGCCTTAATCATCATTTGCAGGGTTTTCTCAAAGTCTAAATTCACCCCAGCTGATCACATCATGGGGACAAAGCCCAGACAACAACAAGTCTTTACTTTATATATGTTTAATACATTGTATGTACTCTGGCCCTGTAATACTGGCAGAAGGCAAAAATTAGACTAGTGTGCGAAGGCGATCAAAATTTAATGGCTTATTCCTTAGTGTGCTTTTAATGTAGGACTTGTGTCGCTGCCTCATACACACTAAAAGCCTCCCGGAGAAAAGATTTAACCTGATTACTGCAGCTGCAGGAAGTGTTGAGTGATCGAGCAGCAATGTAAAAATGGTTTATTTGAATTCCTGTGTGGTTGCTTTTTACCGTACTTTACATTATTCAACACCTGGTGTTTTCCTCAGGCTCTGATGAGGACGCCTCTGAGCTCAGCCAGAACTTACCACCAACCCCCCAGAAAGAGGCCGAGAAGGAGGAGGAGGATGGGGAGCTGAAGAAACAAGAGATGTTGGTGCAGTACCTGAAAGACACGGAAACCTTCGCCTTACAGGTGGAGAGAGCAATCTCTGTCATTAACGCCATGCTCTACTGGAAAACCACTTCAGGTAGAGGCAGTACTCATCAGAGTGCAAACCCACTCAACTGTGTGTGTTTCAATATCATTTATCAAAGACATGTTTTCATGTTTGACAAAAGCAGTGTTTGGTTTCAGTGGTCCTGGAGGCTGTGCAGTTTTGTGTGACCGTGTGTGAGTTCAGCATTGCCAACTCTGTCATTGGGGTGAGGAAGATGTTGCCTCTGGTCTGGTCAACCGACGCTGCCATTAAAGATGCCGTCGTTCAAGCCTACCGGCGCCTCTACCTAAACCCTCAGGGAGACACCATCCGGTGTGTAAAACTACCTCGCACATGTATGACGATATGAAAGGCCCTAACATTGACTATTTAATGTGATTTCAGCTGATACAACATTGATTTTGATATACATTTGTAGGGCTGTCAAAAGATCCATTCATAACGTTGAATGCTGTGCAGCTTTTACTTTTTTTGCATGTCTGTTCAAACCTAGCATAGGATTGTTTACGTCTGTTGTGATCCAAACCTTTCCAAAAACCCCAGGGTGTTGTAAAGTCCAACAGATGAGCTTTATTGAAATTGCTTCAATCCAGATGTTGTCCTTTAGCCTTTCAAAAACATTTTCACTGCAGTCAAAAAAACAATTTGCTCCTCCGCTTGCTGCGCACAAAGGGAGGCACGCACCCACATTAACAGGGCGATCTGGCAGCAATCTAACCGCTCCATTAATTACATTTATATAATTTCTTTTTTAAGGTGATGACTTAAAATGTGACAATAGACATTCAAAGCTTTATTCAAAAACCTTAATAGAATCTTTGAATGTTAAAAAATGACATTCTGTACAGCTCTACAAATTGGACAGTTGGGATTCTGATTAAGTTGGTTTAGGTGCCTGGCTTAACAGTAGTTACTATAGTTAAAACATGCCATGAAATTACATGACTCTTTAGTATGTTGCATTATGTGTACATACTCTAAATGACAGGTAATATTATTGTGCTGCAAGCAGAATCTTTGTGTTGCGTTCTCTTCTTAAAGTAGCTCTCTCGTCTCCATTAGGCTGAAAGCCCACACTCTGGTTGACAGTCTCTCTGAACTGATGGTGGATGCATCTCTGGGAACAATCCAGTGTCTTGAGGAAATAGTGAGTAACACTTTTATTACACTGGTATGGATCATTTCTACAGTACACAACTATGTAGAATATTCAAAGGAACCAGCCATAAAATGTTCAGTGTAACTTTCATTTACTTTGTGTTTTCTGTATTTTGTATAAAACGTATGCAGAATGGTGACATGTTTCTGGTGTTTTCTTCAGGTGCAGGAGTTCTTTGGCAGTGGAAGCCATCTCCAGTCTACTGTGGTGCAGGTCTTGTGGGAGAGGTTTACCGGCAAACGAGAAACTTCCGGCTTACAAAGGCGAGCTGCAGTGTTACTGCTGGGTATGGCTGCACGGTAAGACGGGGACCACTTTCAGTACGCTCCTAAGAAACCAATGTTTTAATGACATGAGAGAGAAAGGGGTCCTAGAAGTTCACTAAATGAGAGGTTTTAACTCGACTTTAATGGTGCAGGCCAAAGTAACTCGGCCCCTCCTACTGTGACTGTTCAGTAACTTAAGCAGTAGTTGTATAATCGGTCACAGAGCATCCATTTTTCTGTGTTTAATCCAAGGAAATGTAAAATCCAGTCACCTGTAGTGTACTGCTGAATCACTCAGCCTGGTATTTGGATCACTATCAACTGTAACTGATCAATCCCATTGCAGCTCTTGTTTATTCATTTTCTCATTGTCAATGTTGTGATCTGACCTCATTATGCACATATTATGCAGTGCAGGAGA